ATCCCGGGGTTGGTTCCTGTAGAGTTGGTTATAGGAATTGCACTGTGGACACTTGCCTGACCGAGAGAATTTTACCGCAAAAGAATATTATGGTCTCAATTTACAAGGAATAAGACATATAAAGAAGGTGAGAACTCACAGAATGAGACTACAATAAAATATGCCCCAAATGTGACTGCCAGGTTGCACAAGTTTGAGAAACCGAGTGTAAAAAATTGGACTTAGTGAAATGAAGAGTCAAGTAACCAAATCAAGCTAGAAGTTCACACGATCCCAAAGAGAAAAAGATTAACATTCTGTAGGATGTCAAACCCATCTTTGAGATATCACCCAAAGGGCCTGGGTTCTCTATTTTCATACATTAGGGTGATGCAAATATTCCTGCTCAGGATGGATGCTCTCGGTGTCTACATCAACCCAGTCTTCAGTCATGAGTCAGAAATCTCTCTACGTGACAGTGCCGTTTCCACAGACAGGCCAGTGTTATAAAGGTATGTATGGCTCTGAGTTTTTCTGACCAGCACAACAGAAACATACCTGCAGGTTGTGTTCCACTTCTGTATTCAGAACTTTCACCTGTCCCAGCCCAAACTGTTAAGACCCCAATACAGAAGGTCAAGTACATTTAAGGTGAAATGGAAAGATTTTCTTTATTTAAACAAAAAATCATAACTGACTGAAGTTGAACTTTCTAGTTAGTTGTATGGAGTTATATAAAATGTGTTATATTAGGAAGATGAAGACTTTTTTTTGTTTCTACTTCTCTGTCATAGAGAGAGGTCATTTTGGTTCTACTTGCTGTGCTTATTAATAACTGGATAATGGGAGAAGGAACATGGAGGCGCTTTTAACTAGAGTCACCGAAGGTTGTATTTTAACAATGAGGAGTTGGTCTTTGCTATTCTTACTTCATACCTGGTTTTCCCTATAATTTCAAGGTAATTCCTCATCCCTCCCCATTTTGTAAGGGTCTTAGTTTTCTACTCTTACATAATTTATTTCCAAGATCACAATAAGGTCAGGTATTTTAAATTTTAAAAATCCCATTTAGAATAATTACTCTAAAAAATTCACAAAGGGGACAATCTGAACATAAAAAGAATAAATGAAGATGGTATTTCTGTTTTCTTAAACTACCAGGTGTCCAAGAAGGCACTCTGATTGTACATATCAGGAATATTTGGATATCAATTCATTAAAATTTAAATTATTTTAAAATTAAGGTGGCAGATTTTAGAAATAAGTACACTCTTTGATGAGTTAAAAGTTATTAGCTAACATATCTATGAAAGGTATTTAAGTATTTTTTCCTTATTATTGACTTGTTGGGTGACACTGGTTAGCACAGTTCTACAGGTTTCAGCTGCACTGTTCTACAGCGCATCTGTACACTGTATTGTGTGTTTCCACCCCAAGTCACGTCTCTGTCCATCACCATTTATCCCCCACATATCCTCCTCCAGCTCTCTCCCTGCCACTTCCAGCAGTCACCACACTGTTGTATGTGGTCCCTGAGTTTTCTCTCATTTTTCTTTTTTGCTCAATCCCTTCACCCCCCACTACTCCACCCCCAGCTATCAGCCTGCTCCCTATCTATGCATCTGTCATTATTTTACTTATTAGTTTATTTAGTTCATTAGATTCCACATATGAGTGAGGTCACATGGTACTCATCTTTCTCTGGCTGGCTTATTTCACTTAGTGTAATGCTCTCCAGGTCTCTCCATGCTGTCGCAAAGGGAAGATTTCCTTCTTTTTTACGGCTGAGTACTATTTACGTATTAGCAGGACATTATAATAGAATGCTTTGCTCTGCAACACACAATAAATGCTATAATTAATATAATAAAAGACAGGGCAGTATTTCCTCAATAAGTATTTGGACACTTTCCTGTCCAGGATATACTTAATTCTGTAAGTAATTAGACATGACAAGTGTTTGTGCATTTAAGGGGTATGATAAATTTATTTTAGAATGGTCAGTCTGGCAGAAGAGTATAGGCTGGTTGGAAATTAGCCAAATTCAAAAGGAAGGTTTTGCACATTATCACATTGGAGGTGAGATGAGGCATGTGTGAGTATATTAGCAGTGTGAATGAAGACTGGAGGAGGGGTGAGAGATATGTAATGAAAAACTGAAAGAAGATGATTTATTCGCAGAATGTTGACTCAGGGAAAAATTAAACATGATGCCTTGAGAGAGTGGCAGAATTTTAGTTTTTTGATAGAAATAAAGGAGTCAGGAAAGTTCAGTTGTGGAGAGATGAGTTGAGCTGATGGTGAGATGTTTAGGAAACATTCATTAAGCTGTTGAAGAAAGCATCTGGACTTTTGGAGAGAAGTCAGGGATATAAATGTAGAATTGAGAATGAACTATATAGAGTTGAAAATAATCCCGGTAATAGAGCTATGTCCTTGAAGGAAAAGCTGTTGAAAGAAGAGTACAAGTTCTGAGAGCAGAACCTTAGAAAATGCTCACAGTAATGGAGCAAAATAATTTAAAATTTAAAATATTTATCCAAGAGTACAGACAAAGAAAATCAGGACAGAAGAGCATCATAGAGTTGAGAGTGAAGGAACAAGTAGTTAAATTGGTTAATCAATAATTAAAGAACTAAAGTAAAATGAGAGTCTCTGAATTTGATGATTAGAAAGCCATAAGTGACCTTCAAGAGTATAATTTCTATAGATGAGTTAAAGTGGAAACTAGATTCCCATGGAAATAAACTCAGCAAGTGGACACCAATGATTTGGGAATTCTAGTTGTAAAAAGGAAGTGAGAATTAGAATGCTAATTCTATATATATAACAGAGATTTCTTTCCCCAATTTGGGTTTGTATGCTTTTTTATAATGAGGGAAAGGGAGTCCATCAGGGTCAAGAGAGAGACAACGTGGTAGAAGGGGGACAATTGAAGGAATAATGTACTGAATGTGATGAAGAGCTTGAAATGAAAAGCCAGCCAATTCGCACTAAGTGATGGGCATCTGCCCTAGTTCAGTCACTAGGAGCATACTGATTTTTTCAGTAACCTTTTCAGTTCGCCAGTATTATCTATATTTACAGATTAAAAAGTATGAAGCTCATAGAGGCTAAGTAGCTTGGTCTAACTCTTAAGAGCAGAAGAGAATATATTCAAAGCAAGAAACGTTAGGTCCTGAAGGTGAGATGCGACACTATCACTCATTTGCAGTGAGATACAGGCTGCAGTAGAGAGATGTGCCAGGTGGGGAAGAGGAGCAGAGTGGATCAGGGCTGCCATGTTCTCCAGGCACCTGGCACAGTGCAACAGAGGAACAAGTGATGTGATAACAATCTGCTCTGTCTTTTTCATTTGCCTCAGTGTCATGAGCACAAGGAAGTGTACTAGTCACCCTTGAAATCACAGTAGCTCTCAGAGATGACACTAAAGGTATTTGCCAAATTCACTGAAAACGAAATGTCGAGTTGAGACAGCTTTGGCTTTTTAGCTGCACAGTCTAAATTGTAATGTTAACTTTTACATCATGAAAGCCCCTCATATACAAGATAATTTGTAATTCCACCATCCTTATAGGCTTTTAAAAATTAAGGTAAGGCCTGGCCGGGCGTGGCTCAGCAGTTGAGCGTCAACCTAGGATCTAGGTGATCGGGGTTCAATTCCCAGTGAGGACACATGCCCAGGTTGCGGGCTCAATCCCCAGTGACACTCTCATCATTGATGTTTCTGTCTGTCTGTCTGTCTCTCTCCTTTCCTCTCTCTGAAATCAATAAAGGTATATAAAATTAAATAAATAAATAAATAAATACATAAATAAATAAATATTAATGTAAGTATAATGTGCTGTAGGGGGTTAGCTTAATTGATACATCTTCCATGGAACCTAGATTTTGTGGGAAGGTGCTCAGGTGGATTTGCTTCACTCACTCAGAGGTGAAGATTTAAGTGCTGTTTTGCAATCAGATCCTCTGTTCTCTATGTGACAATTTTCTAATTTCATCCTCTAGCCAAATAAAAGATGGTGCAACACCCAAAATCTTGTTTTATCTTTCTCCTTCTATACTGGAATGCCTTAGCAGCCATTTTCATGCTTTATTTTTTTACTGAGGCCATATGCAAGTGCTAGAATTGTAGAAAAATAGCAAGAGCAAGTCAGAACCACTAAAGAGAATGGTAGAAAAATAGAACAAGGTGAAATTATCACCCCTTTCCCTCTCATCCTAAAGACTGAAAGACACCAAATTCTCAAAAAGACCCAATTTGCCTGGAGCTTCAAAGCATCTAAGCCACCTTTTTAGACTTGAAATCTATGAAAGGTTTTGCTCCTGTTTGTTTATGTCTGAAATTGTGGAGGGGACATGTGAAGAAAGCACATTTGCTACTCTCTCTCCCATGCTACACCTGTTACCCACACTACTGAAGTACTGTTAGCAGCAACGGTTCATAAAGTACTTTCCTCATAAGTTTTTTGTATTTGAGTTTAAATATACTTGTAAGTTGTGCAACATTATTCCATTTTTATGTAAAATATTAAATCTTTAATCCAATCACACATCTGGTAAGTCATAAAAGGAGAATCCATATTCAGGTTTTCTAATTCCAGAACTTCCCATGAGACACCAGCCTTATATACAGTATACATCTCTCTCCCCCAATATTTTCTTCTTTTTTTGTAATATGGTGTAGCACATATATGTATGGTAGTTCTTGAACTTTGAACACTATTTTTCTTCATTGCCTTTCACTTTATCTTCTGTTGTCAACTATCATCATCTCCTGCCCTGGAAACTGAGGTAAGATACAGAGCTTCCAGAATTGCACTACGTTATCTCTAGGACTTAACTCACTCACTGAGACCACATCATGATTTTGTGAAGGGGCCACCCTCTCTCTCTCATGTACCGTAGATACAACACATATTGGATCAAGCCTATCATGTGGTCCCCAAATGACCTGGAATAGTTATGTCTGGCAGGTCATATAAAATATTATTTTAAGAAGTTATTCTTATCATTCTTTAATTAAAAATCTGATGTTAATTCTGACTCTCTCTGCAGATTAATAACCCTCACATTTTTTAATGGGAACAGATAACCAGACGTGGGTGAGAGAGTTTATTCTTCTTGGCCTGTCCAGTGACTGGGACACTCAGGCCTCTCTCTTTGTCCTCTTCTCCGTCACATACATGGTGACAGTGCTGGGGAACTTCCTCATTGTTCTTCTGATCAGATTGGACAGCCGACTCCACACCCCCATGTATTTCTTTCTCACCAACCTCTCCCTTGTTGATGTCTCTTATGCCACAACCATTGTCCCTCAGATGCTGGTTCACTTCCTTGCAGAACACAAAGCAATCCCACTCGAGAGCTGTGCGGCCCAGTTATTTTTCTCCCTGGGGTTGGGTGGGATTGAGTTTGTTCTACTGGCAGTGATGGCCTATGACCGCTATGTGGCTGTGTGTGATCCCTTGCGCTACTTGGTCATCATGCATGGAGGGCTCTGTACTAAGCTGGCCATCACATCCTGGGTCAGTGGCTCTGTCAACTCTCTTGTGCATACTGCCATCACCTTCCAGCTGCCCATGTGCTCCAACAAGTTTATTGATCACATATCCTGTGAAATCCTAGCTGTGGTCAGACTGGCCTGTGTGGACACCTCTTCCAATGAGATCACAATCATGGTTTCTAGTATTGTCCTGCTGATGTCACCATTCTTCCTGGTTCTGTTGTCCTACATCAGGATCATTTCCACCATCCTAAAGATCAGGTCCACAGAGGGAAGAAAGAAAGCCTTCCACACCTGTGCCTCTCACCTCACAGTGGTTGTCCTGTGCTATGGCATGGCCATCTTCACTTACATCCAGCCCCACTCTGGCCCCTCAGCCCTTCAGGAGAAGTTGATCTCTGTTTTCTATGCCATTTTGATGCCCTTGTTGAACCCCATGATTTATAGCCTAAGGAATAAGGAGGTGAAGGGGGCCTGGCAGAAACTATCAGGGCAACTATCTGGATTAACATCAAAACTGGCAACTTGATGAATCATGAGCACCATTTAGAAAAAAGAACTTTGCCTGTGTGTTCTGCCACTTAACTCAGATATGACAGGCATCAGCTGCATTGCTGTGGTGACCAGGAAGGAGCTGATGAAAGTATACTGGTTATGTGGAGTAGGTTTTGTGTGTTTAGGTTGGGGTGTTGGATATGGGGCTATTTTTATGTCCCAGGAGCATGTTCAGAGGAGTTAAGCACTGCTGTCATGGACCGTCCCACACTTAATGTTTGTTAATATGGCCTGAGAGTAATTTAAAGAAAACACCATTTGCTATTTTGATTTGTTTCATTTTTTGCAGTCATGGACCTATTTATTGATCTTAATTTGGACAGCTGGTTCTTATTCATCCATATTTTCTACAAGGTTACTGTGTTTCCATTGGAAACATTACTTTCACATTTCACTGTAACAAATGCATAGAATATGAAACCACATCCAGTGTTGTGTGAGTCACTATTCTGAGGAGAGTGTTGCTGTCAAGGCTGATTAAATGCTTGTGTGCTGGACCTATTTCATGTGGACACAATGTGTTTGTTTGAGAGCTGGAAGTAAGTCAGTGGAGAAGCATCAACTGAAGGTCTTTTCTTACACTGATAGGAATCTAAGTAAACGTTTGTACATGTGGGTATTGCTGGCCAAGGGAAAGCTATGTTTCAGGCAGTGCTTGACTATACAAACAGTTTTGAGAGGAATTTTACTGCATATATAAGTGGTTTCATTTAAATCTTAATGCTGTCCATTCACTGAAAAATCTATTACCTCTTGTTCTGATACTTTAGAAACAAAAAGCACATAAAATAAGAAATAATGCGTAAATTATGAAATACATAGTTATGTAAGAAAGGAAAGATTCCTCAGCCAAAGGCAATGAAAGATAAGACAACTTTCACATGGATTTGGGAGTCAGGATAGTTTGGTCATCTGTGCAGAGCCACCCTCTCGTCACCATGTTGAACCCTGTCCCATCCCTCCTATGCACACAGTTCACAGCATTGTCAATATTTGCAAATCTACTGAGCTGGAATAGTCTGAGAGTGGACTGCCCCTCTGAGAAAAAACCTGTGTTAAATAAGGTAAAAGGGGGAAGAAATAACTGGACACAGGATAAGGAAGGGGAAGGAGAAAGAATGTGACAGCAGCTCATCTTCTCCCTCCCATGGATATGTCTCAGAACGCTTTCTTCTTGTCGTCTCTTCTTAAGTCAGTTGTTGTGCAGTTCTTCCATCTGGGAATACGTTATCACTCTCACCCTTCAAGCGGAGTTGAAGGCTCGTTTAATCTAGAGCCCTTTTGGTATTTTAATTTTACCTTTTAAAAATCCAATTCTAAAGTTTGCAATATAGGCAAACATCTCAAAGAAGTCAATGCTAATGATTTGTTGGGCTATATATCTCTTGGTGTAAAATTGGTAAATGTTATAGGAGAGTCTCCTATGTGTCTGTAACAATGAATGTTTCTTGAGACACAGCTGTCAATATGATACAGGTCTTGTAATGATAGGACTGCACAGTGGGATGAAAGACAATGAAGCAGTTAAAATGCAATGTTGTTTCACAGAGGGAATAAGCCTTTGGGGGTGATTTTAGAAGTCTTCCTGAATCAAAGGACCAGAAGAAGTCCAGGTGGAGACCAGGAAAGTGACAAGTGACCCAGATAACAAGCAACTCAAGCAAAGGCTGACCGGTGAAAGGTGCTGAGCTGGGGGAGAGGGGGAGAGTTCAATAATGTCTTGAAGTTGCCTTTGCAGGGCAGAGAAGATGAAGGCAGTAGTGGAGATGAAGCAGGCAGCTAAACGGTGGTGAGATCACACAGCACACCGGATATCAAAATATCACTTACCCTTAATAGCAACAGAAACCAGTGAAGATTTTTAAGCTGGAGCATGGCATGACAAAATTCACATGTTTGAATTATCAGCCTGAGCAATCAGACAGACGAAGAAAAATTGGAGCCAAAGACACTGGCTAGGAGGCTGTTCCACGATTATTAATGAGACATTAGAGAAATCAGAACTAAAAAAGTGGCAAGGGAGCAAGAGAAGTCAAGTCAAGTCATGTGATTTAAAACATTTCAGAGGAGTACATATTTTCCCAGAATGGAATTCTTTTTTTTTTTTTTTTAAATATATCTTTATTGATTTCAGAGAGAGGAAGAAAGAGGGATAGAGAGATAGAAACATCAGTGATGAGAGAGTCATTGATCAGCTGCCTCCTGCATGCCCCCGACTGGGAATCGAGCTGGGAACCCCGGCATGTGCCCTGACTGGGAATTGAACCACACTCTCCTGGATCCTAGATCAATGCTCAACCACTAAGCCATGCCGGCTGGGCCAGAATGGAATTCTTTTGTGGATCCCATATCTACTCTAAAATGTCATGATTCTCTCTGAATGTTCTGTAACTTGTGGAATAAACAGTAAAACTTACCATCATGAACACACTCTATATTAAATGTAGGATAAAGGGATGAAAGAAGAAAACTCGTCAGAAGTCAAAAATACAAATATATGTATGACCTCAAGCAGGATAATATGTGTAGAGATGCTATATCTTCATTTTTTCTACTGATTAAATGTTTGTGAATTTTCTTTACTATTCATTGCACAATCCCTTTGCCTTTTCCTAGTGTCCATTCCATTGCTTATTTGTTCCTTCTTCCATCTGCGAGGTTAGCAGCACAGGAAGTCTCTCGCTGATCCTCCACTACCATTTTCTCATCTCTTTCTTCTGATACTGGTCTCACATTGCTCTTATAAAGATTCTTACAATTAGATTGGGGCTACTAAGATAATCCAGGATAGTCTCCCTTAAAATTTAAAAAATTTAAATACATCTGCAAATTCCTCTTAACATGTAAGGCAGTATATTCACATGTTCTGGGACCCAGGCATAGACATCTTTTGGGGGTCATAACTTAGCCTACCACAGAACCTATTCAAATTGGCCACTTAGTTTTTCCAAATGGCCCTAGTAATCTTCAACAGCTTCCTACCATTCTGGTGTGAGACAATATTGCAGTCCTGTTTTTTACATTTCTTACCTCATAAGGGGAATTATATTTCCAAGACCTCTGAAGAACTTCCATTAACATTTCTTGTGGTCTACATCTGATGGATACATACCCATTCTGCTTGTTTGTCTGAAAATGTCTTTATTTCTCCTTCGATCTCAAAAGCTATTTTCTGTATGTATAGAATTCTTTGTGGGCATTATTTCTCTCCTCAAGGCTTTAAAGATGCCCTTCCATTGTCTCCTGCCTTGCATAATTTCTGAGAGGAAATCTGTAATTTAGATCTTTGTTCTTCTGTATATTGTGTATTTTTTTTTTAATCTAAAGCTGCCTTCAGGATTTTTACTTTAATTTTGGCTTTTAGACAGTTACAATATGTTTCTAGTTTGTTTTTTTTTTTTGTATGTTATCCTATTTGGCTGAATTTATTTGATTTGTGCTTTAATTTCTTCACTATACTTTCATCCATTACCTATTCAGATATTTTTTGAACTTCTTTAGTGTCCATTTTCTTTCTGTGATTTTTAATTTCATGTATGATATATGGTTTAATATTGTCCCACAACTCTGGAAGGCTCTCCTCTCTCTTTATTATTATTATTTTTCCCCTCTGTGTGCTAATTTTGGCCTTAACATTATCCTCATTGATTGTGGTGGGTTTTTTTGGCTCTGTTGTAAGTGATCTTTACTTCTCTTACTGTGCTCTTTATATCTAGCATTTCCATTTAATTCCTCCATATAGTTTTCAATTCTCTATAAAAATTCTTCAAATATGATGCTCTCCATCTTTTCCAATAGTTCCTTTAACTTATTTATGAGAGTTATTTTAAACTATGTGATAGTTCCTATACCCAAGTATATCTAATTCTGATTCTGTTAATTGCTTTGTTCAGTGACATTGTAATTTTTCTTGCCTTTCCCTCTGACATTCAGTTTGGATTGAAACCAGGATATTTTGTGTATAGGGTAATAGGCTCTGATAAATAGTATTATGACTTGAAATGGGCACATCTGTTTGTCCTATAGTCTTGTTTGCAGGGAGAGAGTGTGGGAATCAATCAGTCATGGTTTGAGCTGGGTTTGAGTTTTGTTGTTGCTGTGGTTATCCTCAGTGCACCAACAAACTCCGTTTCCTCTAGCATTACTTGTACCTGGGGTGGGAAGTTCAGTGGTTGGAGGGTTTTCCCAGTGTTGCTGCTCCACCCTTCCTTTAAGTTCTCCCTGTGGGCCTGCATGTCAGAGAGTGTGTCTTCCCACACACTGCCTCCTTCCTGTGGCTGACTGCTGTTCCTTGTACCTCAGTTCCTGGTTGCCCAGTGATAGACAATGAGGGCTCCTTCTCTGTCCTGCTCTTTCTCAGTCTTGGGCAGAACTTTTGTCCCTGTGTCTCAGGGTTGGGGAATCTCTCATGATCTTACTCTTCCACAGCATGAGGAGATGGATCATGGTCTGAACACAAGTGGTTTCCTGCCCAGAGGAAATCCCAGGGCTGGAAGGTGTTGTTTTTTGGTTCTCTTCCCTCAGCAATGAGTCCTCATCTGTCTCGAGGGGACCAGGGTTTGCTGTCCTTCCCCAGTGGCTGTAGGCTTTTGTTCCAAAAGGGAGACAGGCTTGGCGGTGGGAGTGTGCCTCCTGCTTACTCAGAGGCTGTGGCTGTTCTCACTGGACCTGGACCATGAAGGATGCTTGTCTGGTTTTCCACCCTTCCCCAAACCTTTTTGTGAGGACTGTTCTAAGTCTGTGGAGAAAATCCTGAGAATTGGTGGGAACTCATTTTGGAACTTAAGTAGTACCATGAAGTATGTCCTTCTTTCTCAACATTGCTATTTAGTGTCTTCTATGGACTGTATGAATTTTAGAATAATTTTTCTATTTCTGTGAAGTATACCATTTTAATTTTGACAGGGATTACATTGGATCTGTGTATCACTTAGGGCAGTATGGACATTTTAGTAGTATTCTTCCAAAACATGCCGGTGGGATATCTTTCCATTTATTTGTATCTTTTTAAATTTCTTTTACCAGTACTTTATAGTTTTCAGTGGGCAGATTGTTCCTCTCCAA